GGATTCGGGTCCACGTGCTTCAAGTAAAGGAAGTAGATAGACAAGTCCTCTAAAGAACATGAGAGCAGTGCAATGTAATGGCCTTAACAAAGCAAATGAACAAATCTCTCCCTGCATTTTATTTTTTGGGGAGGCAGGGGGGTGAGACTGAACTGTCTGAGCTACATAAAATTATGGGGGCGTCTTAATCTATTCAGTGTCACTTGTTGCTAAGCATCGATGCTACTTGCCATAGTTACCAATGGTTCACAGGGACCCAAGTCTCAGGATCATCTCGAGTGCTAGCTTTCTAGAATATTAGTTGGAGTCTCCAGGGCTGACGACACCAATGCTACTGAGCTGGCCAGAGACCTAAACTTTTCCTGTGCCTCAGAAAAACCACATCATCCATTTGTTGCAATCTCTCCAGGTCTTTCTCTGCTCCTTTGCAGTTTACAGTTTATTTAAGACCACCATTTTAGAGCAGCATTTAACCCATACTGTACTCGCAAGTGTAGTGAAAGCTAAATCAATTCCATAGCCAGTGAGCAGTTCCATGGCTAAGGAAGTCTGAAAAGCTCAGGGCTCCTGGAATTCTGCAGCTAACACTGGAGTCAGTGGGTACCAAGTGGGCAGGCTGCTACATGCTCTTACTGCCACAGAGTGGGCTAACATTTGCTGCAGAATTCTCTTACCCTTGCTGCTGAAACAGGCCCTGAAGTGCTGCAGAATTCCAGAGGCCCTGAGCAAACCTGTGTGTGTTCATGGGCTGAAGAGCCTGAAGACTGAAGAGCAGGTGAAAAAGTGTTAAAATAACAACTGATCTCTGCAAACACACTGATTCATCACAAGTCTTGCAATACTTGGGTGTCTAGTAAAGTCTCTGCTCATGGAATCGCAGTGCTATGGGAGAATCTCTGTTTTCACTTAAAAATGTTTCTGAACCACATGGTTGCAGAGACAAACCGGAAATCATGGATTTCAAAAGGTTGAAAAATACATTTAAAGTTTGTTTAAATCTGACTTGACCAGCTCCGCAGCTAGGAGTTGGCAATCCTGGGTATGAAAGAGATCCTGAGTGGAGATGTAGTGAGCTAGTTCTTTAAAACAGTCACTACTGCAAACTCAGTCAGTGCCAATACAGATGCTAGAAAATGGCAACCCTCCTGGTGATGAAAGCCAGGGGTTATATTCGCTCTCTTAAGAAACGTGCTTAAGGCACTATGATCAAGTCTGTATTTTACCTGTGGTACTTAATAAGACTGTACAATATTTTTCTCAGCCTATTGTAGAGTGAAGCTTCAAAGGATTCCCTACTGCCCCTTTCCCCATGAGTTCATATTGCCACAGAAATATTTCTTTTCCTATTCATACCGGCTCTCATATCTGGGTCTACTCTGCCTGGCAATGTTTCTCTTAACATCCACTAGCATTCTGTGGCATTACCCTGGCTTACACCACCTTAGAGTCTGCCTATCACCAATAACCCTTTAATTTAATGGAATAAGATATGCCATGTCCAGCTGGCACCCTGTGTGATCTTACTATAGCTTTGTTCATTCCTTATCGCCCCTTCCTGGTGCGCGTCACTGTCTCTCACTGAATCTTTGAGCGCAAGATTGGAAAGCCTTTGCCACTGAAACAGCTGTCCTAGATGAAACCCCCAGCATGTTTTGGTACATTGTGAAAATACTTCTGTTGTGTTTCTTTGCCCTCTTAAAGCAGTACATTCAAAAGGAAGGTCCTACCTAAGGTGGAACAAAAAGAGCTTTCATAGGTTTGATAACATGCTGTGCTGATGATGTATTATGGCAAAGAGGTGCTCTAGTTCTGCAGACGTTATTTGGGAGTATCTCCACAGCGCTGAACCCCTCTGTCATTCTTCTGTTTCCTTCACCTCTTCACAAGGAAACACATTTTTATCTTTTATTTGCTTCTCTGATACAGAAGGCAGAAAACCCTTTGTGCCCTACTGAGTTCTAGTCACAAGAGCTGCTGGAGCAAATTTGGTCTATGTGAAAGGGCTGCTTGCAGTGATGGCTTTGACCTGTGACTTCTTTTATGACTTCTTGTGGTTTAAGTGAAGGTGGAAAGCTCCTAACCGCGGTGAGCTTTCCTACAGCGTGGGAGCCACTGTATTTCCTGTCTGATCTCAGTGTCACGTGCCTCAAAGGTGACCTAGATGCCTCCCCACTTGAGTTACGGAGCTCAGGAGACAGAAGGACACTTGATGAAGACAGATTCATCAAGCAGCTGGCTTCTGCCTGGGCATTTCTGTCCCAAAACACTCTTGGAAGAGCTGATGCTCGGACTGCTTTAAGCATTCTCAGAGCCTGGCTGGACAGTAGAAGATTTGGAGGTTAATGGAGTAATCCAGCTAGGTGGCAGAAAGTTTCCAGAGCATGGTAAGCAGCTCTCCTCCAATGGAGGAGTAAAGTTTCTGTTGGAGCAATATGGAACGGGGAGGATTTGTTAACAGAAGCCCTCCATTGATGGAGATACCAACCAAGAAGCTTGAAGAGTTATGTGCAAAATTTCCCGTATCAGTTCCCTCAGGAGATCCCTAAATGAGGCTGGAGCACCGCAGAGACAGCTGGAGCCTTCATAGGCTGAGAGCTGCTCTGCAGGTGATCTCTTATTCTGTTCCGGGAAGCCTTGGAGTGGCCCTCACAAAACGGTGTGTGATCTTTCGTTCCTTCAGCACTAAAAGGGAAAAAAAACAGCTAAAAGGAAATGAGTCTGCTGCCCATCTAATGCTGAGTGAAGTCAATGGCAAGACTCCCATTGATATCAAAGGGTTTTGGATCAAGTCCCCAACTAGCCAGCTGGGCGGTTCTAGGGTACTCATTACTTCCTTCTGATCCTAGGTGCAAACTAAATATCTGCTAGAAAAGAATGTGAATGTATGTTTTGTGGCACTCCTACACTTATGGAAATTAATTGACAAGTTGCCTATTAAATGATCAGTACAACAAGAGGAAATGAGGTAATGACATTTTTTTCTAGTGGCTCTTTAAATGCTCCGTAGATTAAACTGTAAAGAGAGGTCAATTGAAACAATTCTGTATCCAGGCTTGGGCACTGAAAGATTTCCTCCTCCTGTAACCACTCTTGAAAATGAGTGGTTACAGGATGGGGAAGCTCAATTAAAGTGGAAAAGAAAATGGTGCTCTAGGGATATCAAGGTTCACGTGCTTGCTTTTAATATACTTCTAAGATCCAGCAAAAATGAGCCTGTTGACAATGGCATCTTTTTCTTTCATAATTCTCCCTTGTTGCCAACTTACTTGATGCTAAGGGCTTTAGCTTCTGATACGGAATAATATAATTAGGGTGGTTTCTTCGAGAGGTGTACACTACAGCACTGAGCTAAGCCCACTGCAATCAATGAAAAAACTCCCCGTTGGTTTCAATGGAAGCAATAATTCAAACAAACACTGAGCACCTTTGAATTTTTTTTTGATTTGTGAGAAGAGGGAGGAAGAAAAAGCAAATTATCTCCCTAATGTCTAGTCAGTAGATTCAGAATAAATGACAAGCTGGTGGATCTCATTATTCTAGGAAGGCAATTAGGAAGAGACCAAAAATATCTAGCTGCCTGTCGGTTATCTTCTCAGAACTGCACAATGTGAGCCATAACATTACAGGTATTTAAAACCACAACATTGTGTGCTTCATAATTTTTTTTCCCCCAGAGGATACTACAGATAATGTGTCATATTATCAACAACCTGTTGCTCTGAGGTTGTCATGTATGCAAGAGCTCAGTTGTTACCAGTGTCTTAACACAGCAGAGCACATGCTGCTCCATTCAGCAATCTTGTCCTACACATTGTTTGGATATGAAGATGTTTTATAAAGGCTGCTTTTGGCAATCCTGCTTTGTGAGTAGTCCCCAGATAGGCTTAGTTTACAAGCTGACAATACAACCGCTAGCCATGTTTGGAAACTCAAATCTTATTTGAGTATTGTAAGTGTAACATGGTTGATTTCCTTTCAGAGTTGCAGGACATGGCAGAACCCAAATCAGAAAGAGATGGCAGAGACATCTCAGATCAGGGAGGCTACCTGAAGGATATGACCCTTCAGTTTAGTCAATATTGCACTAGCCTAGATGTAGGTTTGTATCACTGTGTGTAAGGGTAGAGAAATAGTCAATTCCCCAAAGCTCATGAAGCTTAGGAACTTTAACTTTGTTAGCACGGTATCCACCTGCTGGGACTGCAGCCTGAGTACCAGTACCTGAGCTGGCTACTTGGGGATGTTCATCAGCATAGCCATAGCAGCAGGACACCCAGTCTGGTTTGCAAAATCCAGCCAAGCAGCGGGATAAACACTTGGCTAATTGAGCTGAGCTGAGCTCCATGCTAACATGGTTGTGCAGCTCAGGAGTTCCTGAGCAAGCTATTTTGAAGCCAAAGTAGGCAGTTCCACAAGCTAGTATGTATGACGGCTTTAAGCCAAACAAGTTCCCATGGAAGAAATGGCAAAATTAAAGGAAAAAAAATTGTACTTAGTTATGCCAGAATCATGAGGATGATACCTGATAGATTCATGAAGAAGTCCTCCTAAGTGCTAGAGTGAGTTTTGTGGAGGCCTCGCAACAAGATACTGATGGATTTCTGAGGACAGTAATTCTCTAGTCTTTCCCTGAGATTACCTGATCAGACCCCCTACCTCCTTCCCTATTCCTAAAGTGCAGTTGTTCTCAAAGTGTCTTGTTCTCTCGAGTACCAGAAGAGGTTCAAAATCCTCAGGATCATGGGCCATAGTCCAAGATCCACCAACCTCAGGCCATACATTTCCAAGGAGCATTAAGGAAATTTTAAAATGATGACTTCTAATTATTTTTAATCAGAACTGTTATCCAAGACAATAAGTAAACAAACTTCTGTGTTACGAAACATGACACTTGCCAAAATGTGCGCTCATCCCCAGCCAAGAAGAAAAATCAAAGTACTTAAATGCATGTTTCTAGGCATCTGACACCCATTCTAATCCCACTCCACCACGTGGCACACTATTCTGCTAGGAGGGCACGTACTACTAAGAAAACTAGTTAATGTGGCTGGTGACATTTGCAGTCAGCTGATCTTTCTAAGCAGGCTGCTATGACAGGGCCTTTAGCTTTCATTGTATTAAGCACTCACATAGTTATCTCTTGCGGACCAGCCTGGGTAGAGCTGCATGTGAAGTTGCCGTTCCTTCCGAGCCAGTTCATAGTACTTGGCCTGCTCCTCCCGTGACAGTGCATGCCACTGCAACAGAAACAGTTGTGAAACACCTCAGTGCATCTCATCATCATCTCTCCTTGCTTTAAGAATCAGACAGGCCTTTCCTTTTAACTCTGCTATACCCTTTATTTGCTATGTAACTCCACAGATGTTAACTGAGTTTTATCTGGGGCTGCGTGTTCACAGTGACTTAAGGAAAATGTAGACAGTTTCCCATACAAACTCCTTATTACCTGCATAGGAACTAAAAGGTCATGCAAGGCACACCCTTACATTTCTAGTGGCATGGCTGATCGGCTATGCCAGGGGAGGAAGGAGGTTCTTTATATAGCAGAAGGAGTAAACTGTGTTCCCTCATTTCCTTTCTCTCCCCACTTGTTGTTTTTTTATGGCTTCCTGACTCAGAAGAACAGACCAATACATTCACAAGCACAATGCCCCACAGCGTCCATAAAGTTAAGACGCATGTTAAGGTGATCTGTTAGGAGCAGACCAGTGATGTACAAACCATCTGATTTGCTGTCCCCTGCCTTCATATCAAGAGAGGTTGCTAAACATAACCATTTCAGTGACACAAAATAAAATATCATTTACCCCAAAGGATCTGAATTGTCATTTAAACCCAATTAATAGTGAAGCTCCCTGCCCCCATCACTCCCACTGCAGATGATCCAAGCTCTTCATTCTGGGGAAGAGCTAGTACACTGACCATGTCTTTTAGGAGCTGCTGATCTATGTGAAGTATTACAGGTAACAGGCTTTTTATGAAATAGCTGCATAACTTCTCCCTAGGGGCCTGTAAAGAAAAATGGTACCACTCTAATATACAGCCAAACCACTCCGGTTCTGTGCTCTTACCCTCCTTCCTAAAATCTGGTTGATAGCTGCACTTTCTTTCAGGGTGCACTCGGCAATGACTTTTGCCCGCATCTCTTTCATATACAACATGAAAGCATTCAGGGGCTTCTTGATAGTTGGCTTCTTGGCTTCCTTCTCTCTCTTTGGTTCTGGTTGGGGTTTCCTTGACAGAAACAAAACAACACTCAATAACAACAGGACTCCTGCATCTCAACTAGTGTATCTGAATACAGTGAAAAGAAATAGATCCACTTGAAAATATTAAGGACTATCAAGCAGGACTTGAACCCTTGACTAATGAGCATATAGCACAGCTGGAATGTGGTCTCTTCTAGTGATCGTGACCATCATTACACTGGCACCTTTTTCATAACTGGTGGAACAATACGGTGCCCCAAAGTCTGCTTAGCTAACTTACCGAGTTGCTGTTCACAGATCCCCTCCCCACACAAGCAGACACAACAATAAGCTAGACTAGGACTAAGGAAATCACACAGTAAGGAACTCTTTTTAATAGTCTGCCATTTTAAGACTTACATGTTCCGGTCATAATGCTCCATTTCCTGTTTTCCAGAGTGGGGCACTATGGCTGGATGAGGGATGCCGGTGGTGTGCATTCCAGAGCTCAGCATCAGAGGGTGTGTAAACCTGCAACAGAGAGCGTTTCAGAGATTGCTGCAATATTGCTTTGGGGTGCTGGTACGTTTGGCTCTTAAAGGTCAGTTCAGTTGCGGGTCTGAGCCCCAGCTGAAGGACGCTACAGAAGAACAGCGAAGAGCAGCAGGAAACAAATGGCTGTGCACAGCTCTTTCCACTGGTTTACTCTTCAGTCCGATGGAGAAGAGTGCTCTGTCTCACTAGGTGGCACTCTTTGAGTTGTTTTTAACGTTACAGAAACAAATGCTTAAGCAACAGTACATGTAAAGCAAACGTCCCAGATGCATCCTAGCAAAGTGTCTTCCTGAAATAATGAGCCTGTGCAGAAGTGCCCCAGTGCTACCCTTGGAAGCTTGCTGCAGTGCTGATGGGATAGTTGGCAAGCCTGATGCAGGGCTTTCCCACAGCCACTGCCACTCTAGCTAATGAGTGTTTGGCAGTTGCTTTAACCTGATGAATGACACTTACAGAGTATCAACATTAAATGAAAACGCCAGGCAGGTGGGCTTTTTGCCTTTATTTCCTGATGCTTTTCTTTGGCTCTGTCCAGCAATACATTCTTGCTGAGTAATCTTCAGTCATGATGACAGTGGGTGTGTGGATAACAGAAGCAACCAAACTGACTTGGAAAAGCATTCAGACTCTTGCCTGGTTACTGTTCTGTTGGGGGATTCAATAAAATTCCTTGCTACACAATCTATCCTGGCTGCAATCCTAACTGATTTTATTTAAAGAATTGGTCAGCTACTTGGCTCTCCATTGCAACAATATTGTAAGTGCTACAGCAGAAAAACAAACAGAAAAACAGCCTATGGGTTTGACAGCTTAGGATCATCCCACACTTTTATTTTAAAAGAAAAGGCATGAGTCTGAACATGAACCAAACAGCAGCTCTTGGAGGTGCATCCTGCCCCAGCAGTGTTATCCACCAACACAGAAGTGAGATCATGAGCAGTCTTACAAGCTTCATTGGCACTGTACACGGCACTGTATAATGTGCTGGCCAGTGCAGTCTGCTTTGCCAAACTTGCCACTTAACGACTGCGGTTTGTGATGGCAGAATTGCCCAGGGGAGATGAACAACTGCTGGTGAGAGGTGTTGGCACAAAATGAAAAGGCGTTTAATTTCAGCCCCTGGCAGTCTGGAGCTTGATCCTTGTCTGACAAGGTGTACTTTCTCCTTGGCAGCAGTACTCCCGACCTGCCCCACTCTGTAGAATATAAACAAGAATGGCAGCAACATGTATGATGACAGCATCTGGCCTCATCGTCTAGTCTTTATCATTGATCTTAGATGCAAAGATAGAAAAAGCTGCCTCAGATGGCATGTGCAAAAGTCAAGGAGTGCAACTGGCAGTATTTTCCTGCTGTTATCCTAGGAATGATCCCTGTGAAATGTCTTCAATGAATATTATCCCCTATGTATCATGACAACATGTAGCAGAAGCAAAAGCTGGAGATGCGAACAAATGCTGCTTGCACATAAATTCCCAGAGGGCCTGGTCTCTTCTAGCTGGAGCGTCTCATGATCAACAGAAACCAAAGCACTTGCTGCTAGCTGAATGAAGAACACAAGTGGTTCTAATGGACTTTTTACACTTAATGTCCAAGCCTGTTTTGAGGTTAGTATGTAAAGAATTACATGGCATGATTAGGACTACTCATCCTCCAGGTGAAATCATTGGGAACTGCACGTGCAGGTTTGGCCCTTGTCTGTTCACAAATTTGCTAGAGTAATGTACACAGAGGAATACAAGGTACACAGTGTCCCAGGCCTGTGCTGCACAATGCATTTGGCACTGCCAGATCCTCTGCTGCTACAAACTGGTAAAGCGCCGTGTGAAATCAACTGCTCTATGCTGTTCTACATCAGCTGAGTACTTGGCCTTTACAACTCTGCACACATTTTAAAACTCCCGCAACAATCAGCAAGGAATTGGTTCATAAAAATCCAGGGAAGCGGCAACTCGTCATCCTCACAATGGAATGTGGTAAAGAGCTACAGGAAATGCAGAATTTAACTGTCAACCTTTCCTGGAGTAGCAGAGACAGGTAAAACTACCTGTGCTCAGCGAGGGCTCTGTCCCATTTCACCAAAAGCCTGAGAACAAATACAAGTCAGTCTCTGCACAACTTAATTTAGTCCAGGATACTTGGGGAAGGAGTATTTCTATCTCTGTGGTAAAAATAAGAAGCTGTTTGGCATGGCAGCAGTGAGAACTTATCACACCATTTATTCCATTTTCCTACCGTTGAGTCTGAGGCTTAGGGTTTTTCTGGACTTCTACTAATTAAAACTAAATCCTTGCATCTCCTCCATGAAACCTTGATATTCCTGCAATTCTTTTTCTTTCTTTCTTCTTTTTTTTTTAATAAGGCATTTGACTAACGGAAATGCTTTTCCTGTTGGTGCTATCTGGAAGTTTGGTGGCCCCTTGCTGGCTTTTTGTAGTCTCCTGCAAGCTCAGTTGGCACAAACTGCAAGCTGTGAGACCAGCAGAGCTGCTGTCCTGTCTCACACAGCTCATACTTACCTGGAGAAAGAAGCCCCAGCAGAGAGCGCTGACGAATACGGCTGTCTAAATCCACATGACGGGAGCGGATAGACAGACTGGCTCTGCCTGGGATCAGGAAGAAAGAGTCCATAAAGCATCTACATGTGTGACTTCTTCTAAAATTACCCTCCTTAATTGGACTCATTTAGCAATGGTGAGTTCCAAAGCCCTAGTTGCTCTAGTTAGCTTACACTACAGGCCTCTCTCCTTCTTCCTTCATGCCAGAGGCAATTCAGGATCTAAACTTCAATCGGAGATGGGTCTGGACTGCAAAGTTTGGGTCTGAATCTGCATCTGATCTCGCAAATGTTAACTAAGCAGAAGTAATGCTTCAGTTGTATTAAAGCATCAGTTGTGAAATGATAATAAGCTATGAAAGCATGTCAAAAAGTGAAGGTGAATTATTGTAGGAAAAGGTGTTTAGCAGTGCAGACCTCAACCAACCAGAGTATTTGCAAGGTGTATAAAATGCTGTGCAATACCCTGGGAAATACTGAGGTTCAAAATTGGTCTACATCAGGTAAACAGAAGAATGACTGAATGATCAAGTACCTGCCCTGGTGATCATGGAGTAGCACATTTCAGTACACCTTTAAGACCATAAGGGACATAATACTCTACAATGCCTGACTTGAAATACTCTGATTTCCCTGGTGCTCACTTGGTATAGTTCATCTGAAGAATATGACTTCAGTGGAGCTATGCTGATATAAGTTAGCTGAGGGTTAGGCCCTCTTTTTCTTAAATAAAGCAAAACAAGCATCCCATCCTTACAACTGTGTATGTCAGATTTGGGTCTGGAAACTATTTTAGACTTATTAGAGCACAAGCAAAATGTGTGTAAGCAATGTTTTTAATGAATGAGAAATACTTGTTTCCTATATGGGTAGCTCAAAACCCTTCCCAGAGTCGATCTTTGACCCCCTTTATCTAAAATGTCTCATCTCTGGCCTGGAGTTTGGCATGAGAAGTTTGAAGCCCAAAGGAAAAACAGGAGACATAGCTCCAGTTGTTTTTCATGCTTCTTAATATAAGGCTTATCATTATTGATCACAGTCCCGAAAGAGACTGGGATTCTAGGGGAGTCTTGTGTGCCCAGGTGCTGTTCAGACAGAGGTAAACCATGTCTCCTCTGGGAAGAGCGATCAGAAAGCCATTCCCTGGAAGAATAAGGTTTTTGTTTGTCACTCATTGAGTTGCTCTATGTCAGCTTGAATGAAATCTAAAAGATCTGTCTGTATTAATGTCAGTAAACATGGTTAAGAACTGGCCTCTGTTTACAACCTGCCAGACAGCCATCCCTCTCACACTACTTAGAAGTTAGCAGTGTATAAACATGCCAACAAACAGCCAACTGCTACAATATATCAGGAAGCCTAAACAACCTTTGAAGTTTAACATTACTGCCCCAGGGGTGAGAAAACATTCAAAGTTAATCCAGAAGTGACATTCATTACTCCAGAAGCCAAGATATTGCAATAGAAAAGGATCTTGGCATTCAAGTCTTTATCTAAAGTGATTCTGACACGCAAATTAATTCAATTGCAAAACCAACCTGTGATTGTTGGGAATGTGCAATTCAAGTGTTTTCTCCCGGGATGGGAGAGCAGCTTGGGAGACAACAAGAGGTGGGGGGGTGAATTAATTAAGAGACACCCCCTCGCCTAGCACAAAATTCAGCTGGGGTCCTGTACAATGGTAAGATTTACGGGGCTCTTGGTTAAGGTGTGTTCTCAGGCTCCAGCGATCAAACTTGCTGGATTAGACTCTAACTGGCTTTCATTTGAAGTTCCTGACTGTCATCTGAGCTAATTAAAGGGAGAGAGTTATTGCAGCTACCCTCCCCAAAACACTCCGCAGGTACAAAAACCACTTCTGCTGAACTCTTGTTAGGTAGCTTGCTAAGGAAAAGCCGCTTCCTGTATTACGACCGCTTGGCGTTTGAAGTCAGCTTCATTCCAGAACAGTGAACTTTAAGAACTGTACACATACCACAGCACTTGTTGGCACGAGGGGTCTCTGTAGCATTCCTCCTCCTACATAATTAATTTCAACACTGTTTAAGCAGCCCAACCTCTGTAAAAGCATACACTGGTGACCAATCCCTTGAGCGAATAGTTTGACAATATCATTTGCCTGTTGCATGCCCCTGAAATGGGCGGATGGAGCTGATAACTTTGTGGCTCAGAAATATATGATATGGGGGTTGTACATGCAAGCAAAAGGCTTAGGCAGAGACAGCTGTGAACCATCTTTGCTTCTGTGAACTTCTTAAATGCAGAGAACTGTTGCTGAAATAATTCAGAGGCAGTTCTGACTGGAAACTCCCAATTTTTACTTAAAAGGCAAGGTATATTTGCACTTTATAGACTAACCAAAGTGCATGTGTGTGTGCAGTATATAAAAATAGCACAAGCCTTTGTGAGCTGAAGCTCATTTCATCAATAATTTTTACCCAACAGAAATTTAAACCAAAGTTTGGGATTGAACACTTGGTACAGAGGCCCAGCACACTATTTCTATGTGTCAAGCAGACTGATGTATTTAACAATGCCCTTTCCCCGCTTTTTAACATATATTTGCTGTTTGAAGTGATGCCTGCTCTTTGGGGCTGCTTTTCTTGATTTTTGTTTTTCCATATCTGTTTATTAGTCATTATTGACTATATCTGAGCAATTTGTTTAAAGGTGCCAAACCATATCAGATGCTAGAGGTGCTGTTAGGAGACTGAGCTTCCTGTCTGACCAAAAAACAAACAAACTCTTTGATAAACAGATTTTCCCCATGTCCCCAAGACCGTCTTTAACAGCTTGCCATTTGAAGAGTAAGCTTTGCATTTGGCAAGCTAGCTCTTTTCTTCTAACAACTTCTTTCATGTTACAGCACAGTCACTCCTGTACTTGTCTTTCCTGAGGATGAATCACATTGTATGAGGAGTTAAATCATTGTCCAAGAGCAGCATATGCAGCACAGAAAGCCAAATGTAATCTCTTTGTAGCCAAATGTAGATCTAAGACCTCCGTCTGTTTCTTTATGGTTAAATATTTGGAACTCTATATTCAGGAGCAAAAATCCAGTTGTTTCATGATTCTATTTTTAATGGTTCACCCTTCATCTTGTGATGCCTCTTTATAGACCTACATGTCTGTGCTAGGGTCATACCAGACAGCATTGTGCAGAAAACTGCTATCTACATGCTACTATACATTTATGATTTTCCCCCTAAGATTCAGTACTTCACATATCCGAATGATCAGTGTGACACAGGTTTTTAAACTGTCTGCTACAGCCTTGCATCTCTTTAATTTCTAGACATTACCAGAAACTGGTTCAACAATAATTGAAAATGTTAATCTACTCTAAAATGTAAACATGGTACTTCCTGCCTCCTCAGCTCTGCTCCCTGTGTGCATTCAAAGTCACCCCATTCAGTGACAAATGTGATAGTTAGAAAGAAGGAAAGTATTAAAAAAAAAATGCTAATGGTGTTGCTAGGCCTTCAGGAGTGCTGGATGCCAAGGGGTCACTGATTGGGTAAGTGAAGGAAGCACATCCAGGGTTGCTAATGCTTGACTGTTTCATGCATTACTGGATTTGAGCTGGGGTTGTAGCAAATCTTCCAATTAGGTCAGAAGCTCCTGGCTAGGGGAAAGCCCCTCTACCTGGATGCCTGGCCAACTTCTGTCTACGCGCTGATGAAAAAATTAGGGATCTGAGACTCTTCTCAACGGAGGGATGTGGGAGCAGGAAGAACTTAGCAGCTCCCTCTCCCGCACCTATACCAATGGGATGTCTCTTCTTTGCTGTTCCTCTATCACTTCCTGCACAATCTGGCCTGGAAAGGGGGGCAGAAGGCAGCCAAAATGTAGGAACCCCTGTGTCAGAAACTCCCATGTCTGTCGGAGCAGAGATGATGGGACATCATTGATGGAGGACTCAGAGGAGCAGCTGAGAAGGATGTGGGGATAGAATTTAATGGGAAACAAGTCAGGGATCAGGGTGAAGGAATTGATTTGAAGGTTGGGGAGGCAGAATGAATCCAAAGGCAAAAGGGTGAGAAGTCCTGCAGCAAAGGCCAAAAACCAAATTCAGGAGTGCTGGCAACTGTGCATCACATTTGCTGGAGGTTGGGCAGAGTTAAGGAACTGACAGACTAAAAAAGCACAACACAATCTTACAATATGGGGGGAGCTCATGATTTTGGGTGAACAATGTGAATTTCAGACAACTGGGGGCAGCAATACTGCATGTGCCACAGGATGAGGGGAGGGATCAATCCAGGTACTCAGCTGGGAGAGTTCTTTGCCACACTGTGTTTTCTGAGGGATGTGATGGGCTGGTGGATTGCTAAAAAATAACGGCTCCTGTTGAATGCCAGAGCAGGAGAGAGAGAACTCAGAGTTAGAGGCCTTGAATGCAGCTAGAACAAGATGGACAGTAAGTTGCTGACCCAAGCAACCCTTTCTTCCTCATGTAATCCACATCAGATACAATGGTGGTAGGCATTTCAGACTGCAGAGAGGTAACAGCATGGAGTCTGGACTCCAAATTTGACTTTCCAGGGCCAAGTCCCTTATTTCTCCATGCCTCTGCTTTCCATCTCTAATGTGGAGTAATGCACTTCCCAATTACACAGATTGCAGATGAGAGCTGACTGCCAGAGGCAGGGGTAAGGACAGTGTAAAGAGCAGTAGATTCTGGTAAACAAGATTAGAGAGAGCAAGAACAACACCCTGTTGCTTACCAAGGCCAAATGGAGTGATCCAGTGTCAACACTTACCAGCCCATGGAAGGTGTAATCTGTCCAACCCCACCAGGAGGGAGGGAGTAGAAGCCAGGGATCTCTGAGGTTTGGGACGGACGGTGTACACCTAGGGGAGGGATCAAGAGTCAGTTAGAGGAAGAAATTCAGGCAGCACTAGCATCCCCACAGGATTAGATGTCCTCGAGCCCTGCATTGCCCTTTATTTCGGGGCCAGCGATTAAGTCTAGATTTGTGAACTGCAAAAAATTTGTGAGGAAAATGGTTTCCTCTCACAAGTCACCCCTTCCTCCACTGATTCCATCTCTCAGGCACAGCCCTGCACTGGGGTGACGCACAGCCATATTCCTGCAGAACATATAATCAGTCTTGGAGGCAAAGTTGTTTGAGCACAAGGGTCACCTACGGGCTCCTTGGTTTCCAAACACTACTCTGATTCTCAAAATGACTTGGTTTCTATTTGTTTCATTCCATTAGCTGCTTTTTCCCTCCCAGCCCATCAGAGACAAGTAACATGGATCACACCATTCAGGATCAAGGCCTTCCTTCCCTGCGAGCCACTGCCTTCTTTTGCCAGTGACTTTGTCCATGAGTTCGCCTCAGGGATATTTTATAAGGATGTGTTGCCTTTGTATTAGTTTGAAAGAAGCCTTGGTTTTCAGGATCTCATTTGTACTGCTCTGCTGGTGCCATGGGACCATAAATGTGGCATACACAGCTAGCTGCGAATTGCTCTTCCATGAAGGAAATCCCTGGGTGTTCAGCACAATTCATGGTATGGGTGGCACATCCAGAGGAAAATGGTTGGGGCCAGTGTGTCTTCACACATCAGCTATTCCTGAATTTCAGACCAGATTCTTGTAGCATTGGGCTGTGGGTTATTGCTAGAGAATCCCTGATGCTGGCCCTAAACTTGAAGCCACAAATGGGGAACTGGAAAAGTGAAAAAGCCCTCACTTTGACTTGGAAGAGGCTTGAATGATAGCATCTAGCTTTATGTTTCTAAATCTGAAGATGCATATAGTGGTGAAAGTCTCCAGCTGTGTGTTCCCCATAAGGGAAGAAAGAGGGAGACTGTGTGTACAGTAAAAAGTAAGCTGTTGCCAGTGACATGTCGTTTAGTGGTGAAAAGCTGTGATGTGAAATTAATGGTTTTCTCAACACAACGCTGACCTCTGTCTAGTGAGCTGACGAGTATAAGATGCTCAGGATCCTTCTACATGTGCGATTGCCAGCTGGGGATTTCTGTTAAATAGTTTCTACAAATACTGATTTTGAAGGCAAGTACATCAGAGGTGAACGCCAGGATCTAGGAGAGCAATTCTTCAAGGAGGATGAGGACCAATGGGCATAAGCTAATAGAAGGTAAATTCAGGCTAGATATAAGAGAAAACTTTTTCTCTGTAAGGGTCACACAGAGGTGTTCCTGATTCTGGCAGAGGTGGTGCAATCACCCCCTTGGAGGTGTTGAAGATGAAGCTGGACGGGTACCTTGTTGAGCTCATCTGAGCCCAATAACTTCCTTTTCATGGCACGGGACCGGACTTGGTGATCTTACAGGTCCCTCCCGGTTCTATGATACTTCTGCAAATACTATTTAGCAAATACATGTGACCAATATATTTTCCAACATTGAGATCTATTTTTAGGCAATCTGTAAACTGAACATGAAGTAAAATATATGAAATAAGTTTTAATGAACCTTTGTAAATAATTAGGATGCCACTGACTCCAAGCACCTTAACAGAGGGTAAATGCAAGGAAATCGCAACCAAATGAAACGTATAGTGAGAAATTAGCTAGGGATGAAGAGGCAGTATTTGGAGCCTGATAAGATTAGGCCACAGTTCTAGATCAAACCAAAGACAGGAGCTGGGTTAAATGATACCAGCATCTCTTGAGATTTAGGCCCTGAACAGATTAATGTAGCACAGAAGGGGGGTCTGTGGCTTGAGTGCCAGCTTCTAACTCAGGAAATCCTGGTTCAGTTCCCTGATCTGCCACAGATTTCTGGTGTGATGCTGGGCCAGTCAGTATTTTAATCCCACATGTTTCTCAGTTCTTCATCTGTAAAGTATTTTGCTAGATGTGGTGTGAGTATAAATGCCTTGAAGATGGGAAGATGCTCAAGTCCTTGGCTCTTTCACAGAGCCAAGATAGAGGCAGGCAAGATAGAGGCAGGCCAGCCCAGTACATGCTGTCAGTTTAGAGAGGTCTGAATCAGAAGCTTTAATCTGAGCCCTCTGCTTTTGCTGTGAATAGGTCAGGTTAGGTCAAGACGGTATTGAGGAGAGATCTCTGGTCTTATCTGAAACAAATACAGAAACCCCCCTCTATTTTTTGAGTATATACAGAACCCAAACCAAAGGGGGATGAGAGCTTCAAATTTGAGCCATTCACAATAAAAAGCAGAAGGCTCTGGTTTAAGGTTCTGGTTCAGGCTTCTCTCTGAACATATCTGTGAAAGATCCAAGGATTTCAGACAGCTAAACTCCCATCTACTACCCCTGCAAGCAAGAAGCTGGAATCTGGCCCTGAAGGATACTGACTTCTGCATAAATCCAGGAGAGAGCGTTCCTGAGTTCACTGACCTGCAACAGAGCATAAAGGACAGCTGCCAGCCAGTGGGGCAGGTTGGTCCTATGCTGTTTTGCACTTTACATGCCATTAGACAAACGCAGGTTGGTCCTACGCTGTTTTGCCATTACATGCCACTTTACATGCACAAAACACATTAATTGGCAGGACTTTCAAATACCCTTGAACTATTGTGGGGCTGTATTCTGCCAGCAGTTTTCAAGGGTAGCCTGAAACAAGGAGCTTTGTTACATCCTCTCAGGGGCCAAGTGTAATTAAAAAAAAAAATATATATATATATTCCCTTGTCCCTTCTTAGTGAGATGCAGAAATTTTCCATTAGCTGAGCTTCAAATATGCTTTAATTTGCTAACTCGTCATATATTTTTATTGAGCTTTTCATACTCTAGTGACTGACAAGGAATTGTCTGGATGGAAGAAACACCAGACGTTTGTTTGAGGGGCTCTTATAAAGTGTAAATCCTTCTCAGTCACTGAAGTTTCACTGATGAGGCCAGACTATGGCCCTTAGAGTTCAAATTGATGACAAATCAACCCCAATTCATTCACTTCAAGCCACATCTGGTAGAACCCTTAATGTGGCAAAGCTCGTCACCACTGCAGGGCAGCTTCAGATAAAAGTTGGACCAGCATGTAACCATGTGGCTTTGATATGCTGGGCTTTGCGTGAAGCAGAATAGCTCACATTTTGCACCGACTTCCCGGTTCAAAGGAACTCAAGATCCCAGCCACAGTTTACGTTTCCCAAATCAGGAATCAACCTAGATTTATTTGAAACTGGACGCAGGCTTAGTTCAAAGCTCTGGCTGAACTTGAGGTTTGAACCTCTTGCACCAATGCATTTAAACAAATGTTTATTTTCACCCCCCAACCAAAAATAGTACATCAATTAGATGTATGTATTCATTTTTTTTGTTTTGGTATGAGCTCTAATCTTTCCTTATTGTACTTTCCTTCATTGCTTTCGTGAGAGGATGGATGCGTACTGAATTAATGTAGAAACCCAGAGTCAAGCTATGTGACAACCACATATATGTGGCCAAAGGCTGAAATATATGTATAAAAACCCAGCTAGATATTATTATTTAGTCAAAATATTTCCTGTTTCAAACATTTATTTTCTCAAAATGACAACCTTACAACAGTTTGGGTATGAGTCAAAGGAAAGGTTACTTTCCATTTTCTGCTTAGCTCTTGTATATCATCCCCAAGCTCTGTTCTCAGGCTACAAGGAGTGTTATTACAGAGAAAGTTAAACTTTGATGATCAGGACAGACACCCTTTGATGTTCAGGATGCCATAAGCTGTGACTATAAAGTATCCCAAGGAGCTAGCCCCCCTGTAGCCAATGTCCCCGTCTGCTTGGGGATCACTAGAGTGTAGTGAACATGACGTTCTTTTCTTTTTCTTCTCACAAGGCAAAGGTTAAAGGAACTGGCAGTGCCAGAGAAACCTTGGCTAGATGGCAACTCTCATTTAAAGGGCTTCTGGCATCAACCCCCTTTTAAGTTGCCACGATGATTCCCACTGCCTCCCACGTGCTTAGAAAAAACAGCAGTTACCTTGTTTCTGGTTGATATCAGCTGGCAAGTGTGGTGAGTGGGAGCCGTGGCTGAAATGCTCGTTGCTGTATGGAATGAGTGGGGTGAGCGGATGGACGCCATGGGACGGCTGTACCACAGGAACTTTGTTAGACTGAAAAATACAAAACAGGAGGAAGGCTTCAGCAATTTTTGCCTCCGGGTATTACAATATAGCAGTACTGAATACCTGCTGTCAAGGGTCAGCCCAGTCAGCGGTGTTAGGACTGCTGCTCACAGCAGCTGCAAAGGACTGGCTTAATGACTCCAACAGGTAGGCATAGGAAAGCAGCCATTCCTGACTGCTGAACACCGAGTGCCAATTCCACCCCCTGTCCAGGTTTTGCAAGTGATGTGTTAAGAATCACTGCAGGTCCCTGATCTTGCTCAAAAAAACCCACAGGAGAACAGTCTCCTTACCAAGATGAGCACATTAATACAGAACGACCTCATCATAACCCCCTGTGGGACGATGGGGAAAGTTCATTAAAGGACGGTGCTCTCTCTAATACGGAGTTGATCTGTTGTCACAATGATGAGAAATTGGTTCTTGCTGTTGGAGTTGTTTAAAGTCATGGCTCGTTATAGGGGCATATCGCATTGCTGCGTTGTCCAGCAAAGTTCAAACTACTGGTAATCAGTGACACTGCTGTAAACTGGCATAATTTGGACAATTGCTACAAAATGCTGTAATATTTAGATGGGTTACCATGATCAACCCAAATCAACAGGAAGTTTTCAAATTCTGCAGTAGGACTTAATCTAACAAACCCTTTTTATGCCAGGGCTGGCACTTCTGAGCATACCAGCAAATGTATCGCTACATTATTATACCTAATTTTTTGCCCTGCTAAGGGTCACACAAACACGTGCACATATAAATACATGCATGCCTTTCAAAATTTTAACATGCGCATCCTAGACTGAAGTGACAAATCTAAAGCAAGCAACTGAGTGTGTGGTGATGGATCCTTTATTTGCTAGTAGGAAACCCCCAGCTCTCCTATGTCAGGCCCTCCACGTAACAGGCTTGAAGCACAAGCTATACTTTGCACTCTCAAATGTTGGAGGGAGTGAATTTGGACATATCTATTAATGTAGCACGAGCTACAATTTGTATCTGACCATTTCAACTACCCAGTCCTCTACTGGAAGAAATAAAGCAATTCCTCTGAAAGAGAGTTAAAGAACACATGGCAAAACTGTTTCAAAGAAGGTAATGAATACATTGGTCTCTCTCATTGCCCCATCTGACTGAGAAGAAAGGAGTGGCAGGCAAAGCTTTTGACTAAAGATAAAACAAATAAATAGGCTCAACTTCATCAGGAACAGCTAATAGCCCAATTGTCTTCCACTGCTATACTGATACGAGGTGTTTTTCTGCCACTGACTCGGCTAAAGGTTAGGCAGAAATTGCCTTCACAGGGTCTTTCTTTGCAATAAACACAATGGCAAACAGAGATCCTGATGAGTGCCCCAACACTTCGGCTGCTAAAAGATGCAGTTAGCATCTGATGAAGTGAACCCCTGCTCATAAGTTTATGCATGTCTGATTCAGTTAGTCAACAAGGTGCATATCTACCATGCTTTTGGACTGCCTGCAGTTGCTGGCCAAGAGAGCGGTAGTGCAGCAAAAAGAAAAGGGGAACGCTGGGGAAAGAGGCTGGTATGTCCTGGAGTTAGAAAAGGAATCTGGAGGGGCCAATCTTTGGACTACCCAGAGGGCAAACCAGCCCCTGGCACCCATTCACGGAGAACAGCATATACAGGAACACAGACTTCAAGAGCTTAGACTCACATCCCGACCTGTTGGATATAAATTTCCTAGCTATTGAGTTGTGGGAGCTTCACATCTCTGAAAATCAGGCTCAAGATGTCCTGTCTAGGGTTCCCAAACTAGAAACACCCAAGTTAGGTTGCTTTTCCAAAAATGCAGACCTTCCAGAGTGCTGTGTTAACAGTGGAGATCCAATCATCGGTGAGGTCTCTGGCACATATATCACACTGCCAAATCTCCCTACCCTGAGAGAAGTCCCACAGACAGAGCTGAAGATGCAACAAGCTAGAGTAAAATCAGGGAAAAAAGTGTTTGTCTCTCTCTTCCAGTCGTAATGCTAAATTTTGTAAAGGCCTAAAATGTTGTAAAATGATGCTGCTGTATTAAGTACAATGTTGGGTATTTTTGCATGTTGGAACAGAAAAAAAAAAGAACTTGCTCAAAACAGTTACAGAGCTGTAAGGAAGACGCGCGCACACAAACTTTGCTGTCTGCCTCAAGCATGTCTACTGTCTCATACTTGCCCAGTTTCGCCCACAGTTGCTTTTAAACCTGAGCTGACTTAGCCATGACTGGAAAGTCAGGATCTGTCTTGAGGAAAACTAGAAAAGGTATTAGGGCGGATAACTACAAAATCAGGAAAAATAAGAATGGGCTGCAAGCGAATGCTGTCCAGGGATTAGAGAAGGAGACTCCGAGTCCGATCTTTTTGCGGTCTATCACAGCTGTGGTCAATTTGGTGTAGAACTGTAGGCAAGTTATTAACATCCCTGCGTTTTGCTCTCCACTGCCCTTCACTGGGTGTAGCCATCTGCATCTGTGCACTGTAAATAGAAAACTGCTCTGGTTTGCTAGCATGCTCAGTTTGCACAGGTGGCGGTGATGTCTGTGGAGGCAGTGCAGACTCAGGCTTTCCCTCTTGGAAAAGCAGGAATGTGTTGTTCTGAGGACATAGGCAGACAAGGTTCTTTGGGTGAATCTGATATCTTTTACTAGACCAACTTAAATAGTTGGGAAAAAAAGTTTTAGCAAGCTTTTGGGTTTAAACACCCTTTGTCAGGAATGATAGAGGAGAACCTTAATTTGTATAAAGCATTTTGTGAACCTTGCACAAAAGGTACTACATATCTGCATACTGTATTGATGCATTCATGGACAAACCTGGGGAACAGGTGCAAAGAGACCGGTACTGACATCCGTACACACTACCAGCAGTCCGTTCATGTAAATAAAACCAAGTGCCAAATAAGCTTTAAGAGGGAAAGCCAAGCTTTAAACCCTGACAGTCTTTAGTCAAGCAGTGGATCATTAGGTCCCACCATGATGCCCTGAGCTACGATCAGACTGGGTGATGAAGAGAAGTCTGGAGATGCCTTGAGAAATATCAGGGATATTTCTAAAATTAATTTTTGCTGAAGCCTTCTTTAGTGCCAGACTTTCTAATGAAGGATGTGCATTTGAGTGAGCACTTCATGTTCCTAACACAAAAAACAAATATCTGACAAATGTGTGCAAGACAGTTACCTGTGCACATGGAAAACTACCCCCATGCTCACCTGCACGTGTCTGATGTGCACATAGCAGGCAGGAGCCAGGTAGGAGAAGCAGCTGCAGGAGACACTGTAGGGGGGACTTTCAGAGGTCAAGAGAACTGGCTGTAGCTTGATTGGACTTTCTCTGCCCCTTGCCAATTGATTTGCTACAGTTCTCTTCCCTTCCCTTACAGTATTTTCAATTCAGCCTCATTCCTCCTACCCCCTTCTTCCCTGATCATTGCTCCTTCTTTTCAATGTCCCATTTCCCTTCCCTCTACTTCCCATTGAGTGTATCCCCTGCTAACTACCCTGCTGCTGCAATAAAGAAATAATTGAGGAACGAACACAGTGTCCTCACATGGTTCACTCTGCTTGGGTGCCAAGCAAGCCCCTTCGCTTCATCCTGTGCCCAGCTTGTCTCTTTAGAGCACCAGCTCTTCGGAGATAAGACCGTTGTCTACTCTGTTTCTACAGTGGTTAGCACAGTGGAGCTGTATCTTAGTGTCCCTTAGGCATTATCATAATATCTCATAATACACACAATTGATAAGAGTATCAGGTGTCTTATGCCCGTAACTTAGGCACATATGAAATTGTGAGAGCAACTGCCTATACTGAACTGACAATCCCCATAACTGTGAGATTGTGAGGGTAGAGGGGGGTTTTCAAAAGTGCCTGATGATGGCCCCTGAAGTCAATGGGAAAACTCTTAATAGGCTTCGCTAGGAGCAAAATTAGGCCAATTCTGAGCTGTCTTTTCTTTTCTTTTGAAAATCCCAACATTTCTGGTGTCCATACAAGAACAGGATTTTCAGTCTCCTTCATACATACCATGTAAGCAAAGCATATTTCTCATAGAGAAGTAAGGCTAGAAGGGACCTCCAGAAAACATCTAGTTCAACTGAGGATCAAACCTGCGACCATCCTACTATCTGGCACTGTAAGCAAATACAGTCCTGTGCTGTTCTTATTGTAAGGACTACAGGTTTCTAAAGAAAGGAAGGAAATAGCTGGCCATTTAAAAAAACCCTGTGAGAATCATGGTTTTACTGTGCTAAATACATCAAAAGTAACAAACACAAAGGCATGCGGTCACAGCAAAGGCACTAACTGACTGGGCTGTGTTTTCCACCAGATTCAGAGCAGGACATCATGGTTTGGTGTACAAGAGGGCTGCAAATCAATTACTCAGATTTTCCATCAATTCAGAGGGAAAACAATTGTACACAGCAGTAAGACAACTTAGAGCTTCCCCCTCTCTCCCCTAAATTTCCTCTAACCCTGGCTCCTGGTTCCACCACTGTTTTATGCAGCCCTTTAAGTAGGACAAAAAAACTGATAGGAGAAGGCTTTCAAGAAGGTAGGAAAAACATTTCAGTTAGAGCCAGTTCATGTCTGCTGCTGCTTTGTTAATTAGCATGTTGGTAATAGAAACCAGTTTTATGAGCTAGATGAACACTGTGAGAGATGAACAGTTCTGGAAAGGTACTCAGGAGCGAAGAAGCAGCTTTCCTTTTTGCTTCACTTTTCAAATATTTTAATCCATGCCTAGTCACAGTCGGTACCCATGTGCATGGTTCCTGGTTTCCAACAGATGCCCTTGTAAGCTGCCAAACTTTACATTTTAAAATCAGGCCTGACTCTTTTGAAAGTCTGTATATCGAAGAAGAGGTGTCCTTTTCTTATTCCATAAAGTTTGGATTTAGTTTCTGCAAAACGACTCCAACATAACAAAGTACAGTCCCGAGGAGAATCTTCAAAGCAAGCCTGAAATTGCCAACTGATGACTGCCTTATGCTGGGA